CGTTCTTACTATATATATATATATATATATATATATATATATATATGAGCTTTTTATAATGCATTTTAGTAATTTCGAATTTGGAATTTTTACAGGTTGAATCAAGGAGTATGCACCCTTTGTATCCTATATTCAAACATGGCATGAATGGTTGTTTCACCTTTTTGAACAGCCATATCGATCGCATACTAGCAACTGATGCTGTTTCGAGAAGACAACATTTCTTGTTAAGGTGCCTTAGAGAAAATTGTAGCAACATTTCCATGGAGAGTTCATACAAAACGAAGTGTACAATTCATAGCCTTTCGCAGTCAGATATTAGTAGAATTGTTAGATCAATTGTTCCTCCACTTGATCCAGGTCGACACAAGGGCCAAGCAGGTAATTGCTTATCTTAGTGGCCATATTAAGTCTTCGATTATGTGTTTCTATTGATTTATTTTTTTGTTTGGTTAAGTGTGGGGATTGAAACTGGAATCAAATCCTTCAAATGAAGAGCTCTCACCCTCTGACATTTAATCCCAAATTAGTTGGCACTTCATTATTTAAATTTTTTCTTGTTATTTCTACTTTCAATTAGCAGCAAAGGACTATTAGAATTGGAAAAGAACTTATACGATGAATTTGTCATTTTCTATAGTTGTAAGGAAATATATTATTCAAGAAATTGAAGAATTTGCTTAAAACTCGAAGTATGTAATAGGTTTTGGTGCACTCATTGACGTTTTTATGGGATGTATGGGAATTTAGTGCTTTACTATGGATGTCCATGATTTTGAAATTTCTCCTTGCAGGTAAAATAGCTGTTATTGGTGGTTGTCGTGAATACACAGGTGCACCATATTTTGCAGCAATATCAGCACTGAAAATAGTCAGTATTATACATGCTACTTTTTCTTGTCTCTCGGTCTTGCCAGTCTATGCATTCTCAATGATCTTGTGATACATGTACATGCATTATTAATAGCACAAGAACATGACGTAAAAACTGAGCCAGCTGATTGGATCAACTGAAGTTGGCTTGATAAGATTATGAGTTTGTAACACTCCAAACTCGTTCAATTCCCCAATTTCTAGCTAATTGCCACGGTCTTGAATCCATCCAATTCTATCTGGACGTGGCCAACTGTAGGAAATGGACGCTTGATATTGAGTGTGTGTATGTGCATGTATTCATGCGTGTGGGTTTTAACATTCACCATGGGTGGTGATTGTCTTCATCCTTCACCATATGGAAAAATGACAATAACCTTGACTCTGTATAGGCTAGAGTAAATTTGTACAGATAACCACAAAAAAGGTGCTCAAGGAAATGTGGGTTTGTGCATAAAAAAAAAAAAAAAGAACTTTAATGTTGCATCTTTTGGCAGTCAAGGTGATACCCCTATTTTCTTTTCATGCATAACTTGAGAAACATATGAGGAAAGGAAATGTGGGTTTGTGCATGCTCGTGTGCCTATGCATGTGTGTGTGTTTGCACTCACATAGTCTGGTATGAAAGAGATTTTTAGGAATAAAAGGAAAAAATTGTTTAACAAATTCTCAAGAAAGAGCCATGCCTGAGTGTTGACAAACTGAATATGAACACTTAAAATCAAATATGTAAAGTTAAGTTTCTAATTCAATTAATTTTGATCTAATTTTTTTGCCATGCATATCAAACAGGGTGCAGATTTGTCCCACGTCTTCTGCACAACAGATGCTGCAACAGTCATAAAGAGCTATAGCCCTGAATTAATTGTTCACCCTGTGCTTGAAGAGTCTTACAACTTAAGGTTCATGACTGCCAATATCCCTGTCTTTACTCGAAAGTTTTTATCCATGAAATAAGTCTTTGTTTGGTTTAAATTAATTGTTAATAATTGAATGATCTAAAATTTATTTCTCTGGTGGTCATCTAGGAGTGAAAATAAACTCCCTACATCAAAAAGGGTTCTTGCAGATGTTGTTAAGTGGATGGAGCGATTTGATTGTCTCATCATTGGCCCAGGCCTTGGAAGGGACCCATTTCTTTTGGTATATTTTGTCTTGGATATAAATTTTGATTGAAGTCATTATTTTAAAAAGCAAAAAAAAGGAATGGAGTGGCCTCCAATATCCTATACAATCAAGGGGAAATAAGACCATTTGTGCGTCGCATTGGTGCTTATTTTCATATTGGATACATTCCTTTTTCTTTTTAGGTCGAAATGAATCAATTTCCCCTAATAAATCAGGAACTTGCCATTATAAAATTTAATAATCAACAAAATATGAAATAGATGTTTTAGAGTCACCCCATACTGCAAATGGATCTCCTGCTTCCCTCTTTATGGTGTGAAATTAGTTTTCTACTTTTTTTCCCTCTTATTTTTTAACTTTCCTTTTTTGCCTGCTTGTAGCTACTGTAACACCTATCTCCAACCTGAAACCAAACAGTTCCAGTTGGAAGAAATAGTTGTTACTAGAACAGTCTGCCAATTGTTGTGTTAATTTGAGTGTAAGGCTACTATATACGCTGTGTCAATCTTCTATCCATGTTAAACTACCCAACTGTGCCTTTTCAGCTTCATGCTGTGCCAGCCTTCTGTTGATACTTGATAGATCAATTGGTTTGTTTAACTTTGTTACCATTAAGAACCAGGCAAAACCCTGGGCTGTTTTGAGGGCTTATAACAAGATGTTTATTCCTGTTGTTGGGACATCATCTATGACTTTCACTTTCTTCAATCACTTTTTTCTTGACTTTTCAGGAATGTGTGAGTGAAATCATACAACATGCACGGAAAGAGAACATACCATTAGTCATTGATGGGGTATACTTCCGGCTGTTGTGTTGTACCTGTTAATGCCTGGTAATTGATCTTATAGGAACCTTATTTCTTTTGTGATATTCTTAGTAATAGAGTATGCTCTTAATGCAGGATGGCTTGTTTCTTGTGACAAATAATCTTGAACTAGTGAAAGGGTATCACTTAACAGTCCTAACTCCAAATGTAAATGAGTATAAACGCCTCATTCAAAAGGTTCTTGAGTGTGATGTCAGTGATGAGGATGCACCTCAGCAACTGCAGATGCTTTCGAAACGGTACTCTGATAAGTTGCTTTTTAAATGGCCTTTGCCTTTGATTTTTGTCTTTGCCCCCCTGAAACTGAGGGGAAAGTGCTTTTTTGCTGGTCAGACTTGGCGGCGTTACCATCCTACAGAAAGGGAAGAATGATCTTATCAGTGATGGAGAAACTGGTATGGATTGTTGAAGTGGTGATAACTGTTGTTACTCGTATGGATTGTTGAAGTGGTGATAACTGTTGTTACTGGTATGGATTGTTGAAGTGGTTATAACGTTGTTTATAGATGGCACAAAACTTATTATTGCATGAGGAATTGGTTCCCATACTGTAGATAGTATTTGCATTATTATAAAGTTCAAAGGCATTACAAACAATTGAGAAAAATATGTAAAGAGTCATTACCTCGTCTGCTCTAACATGCATAGTCTTCCTTTTCTTGAAGAGCATTCACGGATAGCCACCTCTTGTTTCTCTATCTTACGTGTGTGTTTGATGCTTTTACAGTTGAAATGGTAAGTATTTTTGGATCTCCTCGACGTTGTGGTGGACAAGGTGATATTCTTTCTGGAAGGTGAGCTTTGTCCCGGATACTTTATGGTTGTCATCGCATAATATTGTTTAGGGTTATGTTAGGGTGCTCACACTATATAGTATTTTATAATTGTACTCAACAAATTTTGGACACGTACATACCTTTGTTTTGTACATGGAGCATTTTTTTAGTAGGGATATTTTTGGTCATTAGGAGGGGTGTGACATCATCATGTAGGTGATGTCACACCCCATGTAGATGATTGTCACACCTCTCCTATCACACCCCATGTAGATGATGTCACACCTCTCCTAATGACCAAAAATACCCTTACTAAAAGATATTGTATTACAAATCAATAGTATATAAGTATCCAAAATTTGTTGAGTACAATTATAAAATGCTCTATAGTGTGAGCACCCTAACATATCCCTATTATTTAATGCAACCAATGACATTTGCCATTAATATGTGTCCGTAGTAATTTCATGTCTGTTAGTAGTTACTAATGCATTGTTTTGGATTTATCATAGTTTCTTTTTGTCCAGAAAATATCACTTAATAGTCGGACTACCTTACAAAATCATTAATGTGGTCAAGGCATTTAATTTAGAATTGGAATGGTTATTTTATAAGTTTCATTTCACTTAGATACCTCCTCGATTTGTTTCAAAATACCCATATTGCACTTATTCAGTATTTGGAAGCCTAAAAAAGTAGGGGTGTTCTGGTTATTTGTTCCTATTTAAGTGGCCCAAGCCAAATGACGCTGCTTGTTCAGATTTGGGAACTCGGAACAAGAGTTTCCAATGAATAATGTGAGTTCCTTGTTGCTAACCTTGAACAAAGAGGGGTAAAACTGTCATTTTGCTTGTGCCCCATAATTAAATAGCGATCACGATAATACCTCTCTTTGTTCAAACAAAGGAATACAAAACAAAGATTTTCAATGGAACTTTGGAGTCCCTATATCTAAATAAGAAGGGTAGAACCATCACTTCTCTTAAGCCGCTTACTCCTCCTAGTACAAAGTTAGAGACCCAAAAAGCATATCCAAATGAAAAAAATGATTTTCAGGTTGCTAAGCCTAAACAATTATGGGCTTATTGGTCACTTGGCTCATGCCGCCTTGGCTTGTGCCTATTGGGTGTATGTTTAGTAATGATACAAGGCTAAATACACCTTGAAGGATACCCAATGAACCTAAGGGCATGGCCATAAGATAAGGACGCTAGATTGATATCCTGACAGACGTTGAACAACTATGCAAACCCAATGGGTATTGATTCTTGAAGATATTTACAAAGATATGCTCCTAATGTAATAAACAGAGTATGATATGTCTAAGACTCGCCATATGAAGGCCCAATTATGCCTTAATATGTGTCATTGTCCCCTCCACAAGATTATCATATTCCCAATATGTGTCATTGTCCCCTCCACAAGATTATCATATTCCCAAGGTGTATAATTCTCAGTGGTGGAAGCAGTTATACCTGCAACCCTCGGATTTGCTGTTGTAATTCGCAACAGAAATGGGTTAACGTTGACGGATCATATCTCTCTCGTTCGTGACCCTTTTGAAGTGCGGTTTGAACCATTGAGTTCATCTTCGAGTCCTCTATCATCTCTCCATATTTCATGGCAAATGGACTCGTCATCAGAAAGCAGTAGAAGAAATATGCGGACACATCAATAAAGTTCTGCAGACTAACCGATAACGGATAAAGAATAACTGATTTCCTGGATTCTCTCATGCAATATCACGGTGAATTTTGGCAGTTGCACATTTAAATTCGAACATTAGACAAGATTAAGACTAATCAAGGACATGATTATCATCAAAGCCATCTGCAAACACTTTCGAATTTGAACAAAGATACAAGTTTATCATTTTGAGCCAATTCGTGAGAAATAGATGAGATGGTTAATGATTTGGATGTGACTCATGAATATTCATATTTATCAGTTCATGAAGTCTATATAAACGACACATCTCAGTGAGAGAAGGAAAGAGAGGATAAAATTAGTACACACCCCAATCTTCTCTTATGCGTGATAGAGAAACAAGAGAGGTGACTACTCATCCACTGTCGGTTAAGAGACAGGCCTCCGATTCTGATCCATGGTGCAGAAATTCGATAGAGAGAGAATTTGTTGATCCAGACTCACTTGAAGCCTCAGCTCGAGAATGAGCAGACTGTGGATAGTACCCCTGCATATAGTTAGGTATACGGGCTCCATACGCCCATGGTATTGATATTTTTCCCTCTTGTTTGTATGTGTCCTTTTAGAGTTGTGATATGTAAGCTTCAAGGCTTGATACAGGGGTATTCGACCTTGCATTGTGGGTCGATGTAAACTGTAACAGGGATTAAAGTTCTCCCTAACACATTTTCGTAGCCTCTAGTGCCAAATGACATGAATATCCCTGCTTGGTCTTAGGAATCATAGACCAATGATTTTATTGTGAAAAGCATGTTCCTAATTTTGAAGCCTGAACTAGTGGAGTATTAACATTATTTTGCTCGGGCCACTTAAGTGAGGTCAAATTATTGAAATGCCCCTGGTCCTTGCTTGTTTTGGCTTCTGAAAACTAAACTGAGGCACTTTGGGAATTTTTAGACAATTTTTTGAGGAGCTACTTGAGCAAAATGGAACTTATAAAATAATTATTCTAATGTTAAATTGGATGATTTGACCACCTTAATTATTTTGTAGGTGGTTGGACCATTTTAAGTGATATTTCCAGCGAACCAAAAGGCTATCGACCTCACAGCCACATTCAGAACCAAATGTCATTCTAGATTAGTGTTCGCAAAATCGAACCGGAATGATTAACCAGACATGGGTTCGGAAGCAGTTTAACCGGCCTAACTGGTAAACCGACCGATTCAATTGTTCTAGCCGGTCAAGTCCCGGGCGGCCAAAAAATTGTTGAAAAAAATTAAAAAAATGCAAAAAAAAAATCTATTAGAATATGAAAAGCATATAAAGAATGATTAAAACAAAACGCATGCAAATGAAGTTGAAAATTAATGAAAAAGTGGATTTTAAAAGTGAGTATTAATGACCAAAACATTTTTTAATATTTACCATAATGTAAAAAATATTAAAAAATGTATTACAAATCAAATTCCTTATTTTTGGCATTCTGTATACATTTTTTTGAATTTTTTTTTTTAAAATACCAGCCAACCACCAAAACCGCCTGAAATCAGAACCGGCATAGGGCTGGTTCCTAACTAACCGGGCGGTTACCGGTTAGATCGCCCAGTTTTTCTAACAATGTTCTAGATAACCCAAAGGAATAGAAAGAATAATAGGGTGTGACAGGATGAAAATGCGGAATCGGAAAACAAATCATTCCACCACTTCCAAGGCAGTGGATATCAGTTCCCCCCCCCTTTTCCCCTTTCTCTCCTTTTCCTTTTCTATTGTTGAATGTACTTTCATTAATAAAAAAATGAGATATTGGCAAATACACTTCCTTTACAAAATCGTGTTCATTTGGATAAGAACATCAACACTGAAAATGTGTAACTAACAAAATTTGGCTTGGAAATCCGCCCTTGGTCATATGGTTTGTGCTCATTTGCCTCCCTCCCCTCCATACATTTCTAATTAAGATTCTGAACCCTTTGATCATCATAATTGTCATCTAAGCTTTATCTCAACTATTTGGGATTGGGTACACAAATCCTGTTCTGCCATTCTGCTCTATCAAAGATCATACTCTCAGTTAGACCATAAGTCACCATGTAACACAACCTTCCTCTTTTCTTCTCTAGGCTTGGGAGCAGCAATGGCGGAGTTATTTTGAACCTGCTGATAATTTTGAAAATTTCCTTGAAGGCATTTTCTTTTCTCCATGGGTAATCTAACCTTCTACTGGCCGTGCGACTACATTCTCATAATCACCATCTATTTCTATTGAGCTCCATTTGTACATTGAGTATCAAAGACCAAATGGTAGGGCTTTTACTTCTGTTTTGCTAGAGTCAATGATAGGTAATGGCCTTGAGAACCTAATCAATGTTTTGCCTTTATGACTATGCAGAAAACCTTCCACCCCCGCGGTACATGGGTTTCCCCATGAACTCCAATCAAAGTTTAGTTTAACCCGGTCCCACCCTTGGAGGAGTCTGAGATGCATGTCTTGAGGGAGGAATGGGGCAAATAGCTATGTGCTTTCTCTTTACTGTTTTAAGATTCTAACCAAGTCCATTCTAATGTTCTCTCTCTTTACTATTTAAGATTCTATCCTCTTCTATCTAATAGCTTCTCCATTTTCCTCAAGCAAGGAAGCTTTCTTTGTGCTTGGATTCCCAAATCAGTCAGTTCCAATTCCACAACCTATATTTTAGTAGCTAGCATCCACCATTCCTCTAAAAGTTTCAGTTACTCTCTAGTCTTTAATTATACCAATTTCGATGCACAATGGTTTAGGTCCTGCAATGGCTGTATTTGAGTCCAAGATGATTTGTATTTTGATGGGTCGTTTGCCATCAAAACGCTTTCGAACTTTCATGATTTCCATAGATGCGGCTCTAGTATTGAATATGTGAAAGCTTATTTATTACGTTCATGTTGAAATTACTCTCATCTCCTTTATCCCTTTTTCAGGAGTGTATTTATACGATTCATTATTTGTACTTATTATGTACATTAGTGGTGAGACAAGTGAGTTTTCAGTGCCAAGAGGCTTGCATCAGGGGTTAGCATTGAGCCAATACGTCTTTGTCTTAATTATGGATGACGTGATTAGGCACCTACAAGATGAGGTACTATTATGCATGTTGTTCGTGGACGACATAGTTTTGATCGATGAAATGGCGTCAACACAAAGTTAGAACTTTGGTGGGATGATCTAGAATCCAAAGGTTTTAAAATTAGTCTACTAAGACAGAGTATATGGAATCAAAATTAGTAATAATAAGAATAGAGACGAGGAAGTAGTTAATATTGATGGCCAATAAATACTAAAATAAGTGCACTTTCGATATCTTGGGTCGATAATCCAGGGTAATGAAGAGATT